ACATTGATGGTGATAGGTCAACTAAAACTAACACTAAAACTAACTAAAACAAGAAATCTTGGAATTTCACGTGATCACTTCCCATGCAAATGAAAAGGCTTATTGTTACCATTAGAAGATAAATATTATTTCATATATATAGATCCAAGTTAATCTCAATTCAAAACCTAGTATTTTGCAAGCTAGTTATAATTAGCCATACAGTTTTCTGTTCTCTCTTAATCATAAATATGTTTCTTAGGAAAATGAAATGTGTAGCAAAAAGTAGTACAGGAATATTCATATTTGAAGGCATTGTCTGCTTTTCTTTATAAATCCTTGAAATCTCAGTGGTAAGGACTTATTGTAACTTTTCTTCATTTTTTTCTTCTGTAGTCACTGGAATAATGTTCCTAGTGTCTCTCATTCTTAGTTTCAGAAGCATGATTGATTATATACACAATCACTGTCTGTGGGAAGAAAGATAATTTTATTTTCTAGTATTTTGTGCATTTATTTTTAAAAAATAGAAAGTGATATATGATTATTAATTATAAATGCATGCTACATATTTAGGTAGAACTAGAAGACGAAACTTTCCTCTCAGGCACCAAAAGTTGTGAAATACGTAAATGTTGTGAAATGTGAATCCAGAGAAATGAAACTACTAAAAGGAATTTGGGTTTAGTTGTACAGATTTTTTTTTTTTTAGAGAAGAATGACAGTTGAGGAAGTAATCAAATTGAACTTGCTACACTGTTCCCACAAACAAACGAAAACGATTAAAATGAAATATTTATTTCCTTTGAATATTTAACTTGAATATTGAATACCTAACATGTTAATTTGTTAAACCTTTTCTTTAAATTATTGTTGTTTATTTTTGGTTCACATTTTTTCTTGGCTAGTTTATTTTATTTGGTGGCCTAAGAAGAATGAAGACATTTTTGTTCGAAGTCATTCTTTTAAACTTTAGTTTTAAAAAAGGTTGGCCTTTTTGTCGTTGTTTTGTTACGTTTTTCCATTTTCTGCTGACTTTGTGTGTATGTGTGTGTGTGTCAAGCTGGGTTTATTGTCTACTATTATACATATGGTACATTTCTCTTTAAAATCAGACAGGAATATAAATATTTTAGTGCATAAAAATATTACTTTTACATCATAAGAAAGCTGTCAAATTATGCAAGTAATGAAAAAGTACAGAAATTGTTCAAAAATAAAGAATTTTTAAAACTACAGAGCAACAAATAAGGAACATACAATTACACTTAATATGTAACATTTAGAGAATAAAAGGAATGTTTTCAGTAAAATCTCTTAACAAAGACTTTAAGGTCTTATCAGTAAGTTTTGAATATATGACTTTAAAAGTGAAATAAGTTTAGATAAAAACAACAAAAAATGTGTGTTTATGAAATCTAAACATGAGTTAAATTACTATCATAAAATATTTTATATTTGGTACCAGGACTAGTATAATGTTTCCTTGAGTTCATTTTCATTATTCTGGCAAGGAAAACCATCAAGAAAATACTGCCTCAAGCTGCATACTCTGCTACTGTTGGTTTCTTGTAATGAAGCAACTGTGCAGACTTCATATTAGTTCAATTTAAGTAACTTTTTATGAATTATTTAATATATAAATGTAATTTTAATTCCGAGAATATTGTGAAAGACCTGGAAAACAAATTACAGGAACTGAAAGTAGCACAGTCACTGTGTGTGTGTGTGTCTGTGTGTGTGTCTGTGTGTGTGTGTGTAACACACAGTAAATACGATTTATGAAATCCATTTTCAGTAGATTACTTTCAGGCTTTTTAAAAAGTAAAACTCTCCATTAAAAAAACACTTGACTTATTTTCCTTATAAGCCATGCCAGCTAAAAATTAATTTTAAAAGGGCGGGGGGGGTAAAGGGAGCTTTCTATTTCACTTATTTGGATAGAGTAAGTCTTCCTTCAAATAAAGATTCTTGAAGCAACATTAAGGATAATTGGTGATGGGCAACCAGGCATCTGAAAGAACAAGGAGTCTACCTTCCCTTGTTCTTGTCTGATTTCTTTTCAGCGCAGAGATTCTCCTAAGGGATATATAGCTCCTTACTTTCAGGATGTTTTTAAAAACATGATCTCTGGAACTTTTGTATGCTGAAGTATTTTTATTATTTTGTATGTTAGATGATCTGCATAATGTTAAACACTTTTTCTTTATATAAACCAATTAGTATTCTTACCTCTTTTCTAGTTTAAATGTATATGTGTATGTATCTCTGTAGTAGAAAAATACTATCAGTTTAAAATGATAAAAAGTTTCTTCTGTGTAGCACAGGAAACTGTGTTCAATATCTTGTAATAATCTTTAATGAAAAAAGTATGAAAACGAATATATGTATGAATATGCATGACTGGGACATTGTGCTGTACACCAGAAATTGACACATTGTAATTGACTATACTTCAATTAAAATTTTTTTTAATATATATATACAATGGTGGCAGTATCGTAGTCACTTGGTTTAAATAAATAAAAGATTCTAAAGCCTTGGAATTAAGATAAAAGAAAACAGGACATCAGACATTTTAAATACAACACTTTGTTGATCTTGTCTGATTTTAAATATTGAAGACTGCATAAATACTATGATAGAAAAATGTTCCCACATCAATCAGACTTAGAAAATAGGTTTATAAAAAGTTGTGTTGTCTTTAGAATAAAATTTATATAATTTTTTGTTTGTTTTACTTTTTCTTCGCAATTGAGTACCATTTTGCTTCTCTACTAAAGTAGATTTGCTATGAAGATATCAAGGGCTGTAAAGAAGATGTTTTCCTGAATTTATATTTTTTAACCCTTGGGCTATCATAATTAAACTTTTATATCTAGTTCATAATCTGATAGTAATTTTTGGTATTTTAAAAACTCAAAGCATTTCTGTTTATTATGGCCAGTTTTATTTAGTGCTCTTATGAATTAAAAATTTAGTAATCTGTGAATTGTGTAAATTATTCAAAATAAGTGGAAGTGTACTTTGTTTTAAAATAAATTACATGGGAAAACTGATTTTGTTATATGTTCCTAAACAGTTTTTAAATCAGTACTTCACATTTAATGCAGTGAATGTTAATTTAAGAAAAAAATCTTCAGTTAGAAATAGGAATAAAAATACAAAGACTCCTTTGCTGCAGTAATTCAGTTGTTCAAAATTATTAAATCTTATATAATGTACTTACTAAAAGAGTAAGCCAAATCCTAAGAAGAAAAATTTTGTCTTTGGAAATAAACTGTAAAATTACAAAATTTAGTGATTAACTTTAAGAGCCTGTATATTTGAATTTGAAAGTGTTTGTGTTAACTGTTAATATCTCTTTTTTTGAGGGGAAGGTAATTAGGTCTATTTATTTTTGATGGAGGTACTGGAGATTGAACCCAGGACCTTGTACCTGCTAAGCATGTGCTCTACCACTGAGCTATACCCCACCCCCCACTTTCAAAGTCTATATTATGGTTTAATTCCTTTGACTTTTTCACCATTATCATCAAGTAATTAGGAGGAAGGTTTGGTTTTGTTTTTAATTTCAGTATTCACTGTTGTGATAATCTGATAGAGCTGTTCAACATAATATTATGGGTTAAAAAATTTTTTTGCATTTATTTTTTAAAATTGAAATACACAACTTCTGTTGAGGATTAGCGAGGTGCTTTAAGCCCTGTTTATTCTATGAAGGAACCTTCTACCAAAAGATAATACAAAAATATTATGATCATTCTATAAGATTGTTGCCTACTAGAGTATTGAACTAAAAAGAGAAGAGGTTCTATGATGTGAAGACTTATTGAAATTTTGGAGTACATACCATTTCAAGACCAGAAAACAGTTGAAGTCAAACTTCAGATTGAGACTTTTAGGAAAAAATTGTGTACATATATTTAATTGCAGCATCCACATGCTGAAAGAAGAAATTGTGAAAATAAACCAGCAAGCCAAATCCATGTTTCAGCATGGGAGGTGGCATAGTGAAATAAAAAGAGCTGATTTCAGAGACTGAAGAATCTACATATACCCCAGGATTATTAAAAGGCTCAAATGAAATGTTTATAAAACCTAGTACGAACTTTACAAATATAGGATAGTATTTGTTTTGGGGGGTAGTGAATGCTTAGTTATTGCCACGTTAACTAGGTTTTTTTCCCCCATCTTCTGGCTAGTGGTCAGTAGAGGTGTCTTCATTGGCTGCCTTAAAATCCTGTGATACAATACTGTGATGTCAGTCAGGGAGTAAGTCTGCTGAGTTATTGAAAGAAAGAGGAAGAGATATGTGGTAGGCTAGAATTTCCAAAAGAATGAGTTGGTTCACAGTTAGTTTATAGCATTTTGTTCACCCGTAGATAATCCAGAAAGAATCTGAAAAATAAAGTAACAGTATTTTGGCTTATTTTCGAAACATGATAAAAGTTTATCTTTAAAGATTGGTAATTAATGTTCTATCAAGATTTTATTTGCATGTCTTTCAGTGTAGCCTGCTGTGATTTTTTTTCATCATTCATCTCATCAAATGAATCAATGCTTTCAGGTTATGAGAAATTTAATATGATAAACTCTATAAAGAACCATTTTTCCTTCTTCCTTCTATTTTTCATTAATGTTATGATATCCTCCTTTTATACAGGACTTTGCCTCCCGGGCTAAACTGGCAGTTCAAAACCTAGTACAGAAGGTTGGATTTTTTGGAATTTTGGCCTGTGCTTCAGTAAGTAAATTGTATTTATATGGTAGATTTATATTGTTATGAAATTTATTTAAAGGTACATGACCGAATGAACAAAAATGCTATCAGCTTTCGGGAGTTTATAATTTTATTAATCATTCGTCTTACTCATCAAATAAGCTGTTTCCTGTTGGATATGTTCCTATTTTGTTTATTGACTTTTAGGCATTGCATCATACCATGATGATTTCAGATCTAAATGGCTTGATGCAGTAAGAGCAACAGAGGCAAAATCCATCCTTCCCATGAAGAAATTATAGTAAAGCGCACTTAACTAAATAACGGTGACTTAATTCTTTCCGGGGTTATAGATAGGTAGTCTTTTCCCAAAGTTTCAGGCACTAGTTATAAAGGAAAATTCATGTAAAACCTGCCTTAAGTGATTTTAACACCTGGTTAGGTATTTCAGACATCTGTGGCAAGGTTAGGGCACCTTTGGCTATTTGTGTGAAAAATTATTTGTGTAAAAAAACTTAATGTCTCAAATTGCAGATTTGTGAAAATGACATTCCTTGATGAGTTCATGTTTATCCCAGTCCTTCTCTAATGTAATAGAAACAGTTATATTTGAAATGGAGTATTTTGATCAGAATTTCCTTTGGTACTCTGTACACAATTGTTGGTGGTTTTGTGGTGGATTTGGCCAAAGTGATATGATAAAATGTGCAGTTATAAGTAAAATTCAGAAAACTATTGTCTACTGACGCATAGTTACTTTATCCATTATATATTACTGTCTCTTGGCAATACTAGAAATGTTCATAATCTAACTTTTCTTTTTAATGTAGAAGCTCTTTATCACAATATTGATCTCAACTGAGTAATTTGCAGGTGTGTTGTGTTGTGGTGTAGTGGGATGAGAACTGGCTTTGGAGTCAGGCTTACTTAGGTTCCTAAACCAGGTTTGCCTCTTAGCTGTGTAACCTCAGTCAAGTTAGTCTCTTTGAGCCCAAGATTTCTAATTTTTAAAATGGAACAGTTAAGACACTCTTTGCAAAGGCTAACGTCAGGATTTAGGATAGTATATATGAACTAACACAGTACCTAGAACACAAGTACTCAGCCATTTTTTATTGTTATTCATCAGTTTTGTCTCAACCACTGAGTGCTTGGATGAGGAAGTGAAAGGGGAATTTCCTTTCCTCAAGGATCCTGAAGTCTAGTGAGGGAGACAGTTTAAATACAGAGGTAAATGAAAGGTGCCGTGGAAGCCCAGCAAAACAGGATTAAGCTCAGAGGCCTAAAGGAGGATAACATCCTTAGCTGAGAGGCTGAGAGGACAGCATGGGAGCCATGTTGGCTGCGTTGAAATCCTGCTGTGCTGCCACTGACATGAAACAAATTGCTTAACCTGTCTATCTCACTTTTCTTATTGGTAAAATGGATGTAATGGTATTGTATATAGCATTGTTTGGGGGATCAAGTGAGTTACTGATGTAGGAACCTTAGAAAAATACCTAACAATTCAATATGGGGAAAATACAAGTACCTTTAATTTATTACAGAAAACAATTATTCTTTGGCATTCATCTGTGCTTTTGTCTTAACCTGCTAGAATTCCACTGTCTGTGTTAGCCAGACTTCTAGGAATAGTCAATATTTAACATAAATTAACAGGTCAATTTGACCCTCTAGGAACTCTTTACTAGAAAAACTCTAGTATTAATAAGTATATAGACTTGATTTAAGGTGTAAGAAGTTTATTAATTAGTTATTTTGTTAGCATTTAAACTAAGATAAACTAAACTCCTAGTTGGGGGAAAATCTTAAAACTACTTAATATTCTTTTAATTTTAATCTTCCTTTCTGTGTATTTAGTTAGCAGTTGAGAAAAAAGAAAAAGTAACATGCACGTGTCACAACAAATTCATTGTTTATGCTCTTCTGAGAGTATCCAACATATACTGAGGTGTCCGACATGTTAACACATTCTAACTTTTATCTACTCTGATTTACATATCTTGTATACTTTAAGTTAATTTCCATTTCAATATGTAATGGAGTCTGATAATAAAGGAAAACAATTAAAATTTTAATTCATAGAGTTGTGAGAGTCATGAGAAAATACAAGAAATGACAGCTGTAAGGATGTGGAAGTGGTATTGCTATTACATGGTTGTAAGATAGATGAAATTGCATAGAGCTTTTGAATTTGGATAAGAAAAAATAAAACTGAGTTATTGAATCCAAGTGTTATTAACAAAAGAATACTTGAATTCTAATTTAGTTATGGCATTGTTTTTAAAAGAACGTACGTGACAAATATCTTTTAAACAACTGGGCTTTTCTTTGAAAGTTCAAACATGAAATTACATAAATTAATTGGCTTATAAATGGTTTGACCAACTGACACAAGGAGAAGAATACTTCCGTGGGAGAAAAATGGATGAAATGCTCAAAAACAGCTTGTGGTTTCTTTGCATTTTTACATGAAATTGTCCTTTAGCATTCCTGAAATGTGGGAATGTTCAGAAAAGGTATTTGTTGTGAATAACTCCTTTGTCTGGGACCGAATATTCACAACATATGAATCTGTGCTCTTGTATTTCCACACTTGATTTTTATTCTAAAGTAAATCACGTGGCCCCATGGCCTTGGGCTGCCATAAAATACAATACAAATAATGAATTTTTTTTATGTTGAGAAATTAAAGCACATCCACCTATAAATATATTTGTGAATTTACAGGAATGCTTTCTATAGATTTGAGCACTTTCTAGATAATCTTATTTTAATTTAAGCTAAAGATTTTAGAACCCTAGTAACTACTGAAATAATCTTAAGGCTTTTTCTTCTTTTTTACCTTACCTTATTTGTGCTAGAAACTTGTCCATTTCTTCTAGATTGTCCAGTTTATTGTCATAAAGTTGTTCATAGTATTCACTTACGATTTTTTGTATTTCTTTGATGTTGGTTGTAATTTCTCCACTTTCACTTCTTATTTTGCTTGTTTGTGCTAGAAACTACTTTATACCTTACCTTAAAAGTCAGCTACTGGATGGCCAAGTATCTACTGAATGGGATTAAATTCCTGCTGATCCATTGACTTTTTAAAAAATTTATGTTATGATTATTTGGGGGAATTAGGGAGGGAATTAGGCTGGCTGGCTGGCTGGCTGGCTAGCTGGCTGGCTGGCTTATTTATTTATTTATTTATTTATTTATTTATTTATTATTTTTTAATGGCAGTACCATGCATGCTAAGCATGCACTCTACCACTTGAGCTATACCCTACACCCTGATCCATTGACTTTATCCAGTTTTAATGTGATGAAAAAAGTATATTTACAGGGCATTAGCCATAAGTAATACAAGCAAAAGGACAGCTGGGTTTGCTTTGAACAGATTGGACAACCACCTGGGATGAATATGAGACCCAGCTTTTAGATACATTAGAATGCTTGTCCAACCATCTAGACAGTCTAGTACTACTGATCAGGGATCCCACACCTCTCTTTCCAGTTGTAAACAAGGTGTAAAGCATAATTCCACACACCTATAGGTGGTAAAATTAAAGTGTTCTTTGGATTATATATGAATGTCCCATTTTAATTTTTTTCGTTTTTTAAACAGATTCCAAATCCTCTATTTGATCTGGCTGGAATAACATGTGGACACTTTCTTGTACCTTTTTGGACTTTCTTTGGTGCAACTCTGATTGGAAAAGCAATAATTAAAATGCATATCCAGGTAATTATACTCTGATATCCTGCTTAATGGTGATGACCCTATTAAAAGTCACTGGAAACATATTTCTCTTGCTCCATCCAAGGCAAATTGTAAACATTTTGGTTCTGCTTCTTGGTTGGTAGAAGTATGCTTAGGTTGTCACCCGTGAAATGTCATTTAGAGGTTAGTGAATTTGGTGCAGAATTTCCTTTCTGTTGGAAAAATGTTCCTATTTATTATCTTTCTCCTTGTTTTATTTCTTGCTTTCTTTCTTCCTCTCTCCTTTCCTTCCTCTCTTTATTTTGCTTTTTTTGCCTTGTGAAACTGTTTCTCCAGGTCTTTTACCTAACAAAAATAATGTTTTTATGTAGGAAAATGCACACCATATTAATATACATAGTCCAAAAATGTCATATCTTTACTGACCATGAGCTGGGGAAGTACTGCCTTTCATTATTTCTACTTTTCTTTCACACACTCTATACATAACACTTCCTCTCAAGGAACCAGTACCCTTTATAGAATACCAGTCAGTGTGGAGAAGAATGGGGAAGAAAGGGAGCCCTGAGGTGGCAAGGAGATGTGGTTTGTGGTTAGAGAAGTGAGAATCTGCTAGTCTTCAAAACCACTCTGAACAAAATCTTTAGGATAGGTGTGTGTATGTGTGCATATATGAAGAGAGGAGAGAAAAGAGGCTAAGAATAAGAACTTAAATGAGAGGAAATGGATACGTGCTTCTAGGACTATGATATGAAAGGCAAATCTCACTAGAATAAAATAAAATTAACCTGAAAAGAGTGTCTTAATTAATGAGATTTGCAACAAGGAAGCATTCACCAAAGGACAGGCAAAAACAGTGAATAATTTCTTTGCCCTGGTCTGATTCCCTAATAATTAAAAACACTTCTATCCCCCAATTTCTGCTTAATACCTCTCTACCTCCAGTTCTTAGAAGAGAATGCAAAAGGAAAATTTCAGCTGCTTCTACCTGCCCAGTTTCTAATACTCGATTTTGGTGTTTGAGATAAATTCATTGAGCTTGTCATCTACTCTCCCGCCATGATAGTCACTCAGAATTTCGAGTATTTATTTTTCTTCCTTCAAGGAATATATTTTCTCCCACTTAAATTCGGTACATTGTTCGATGAAATGGGTTTTTAAATATTGGAATGCTAGTTACTTTGGTAAAGATTTAAAATCCCATGACAGGATTTTTCAGATAAACTCGTTTAACTTTTTGGAGTCCTTTGAAAGTAGTTAATACCTAAGGAACAATAATAGATTATTTAAATTCCCATTGTAACAGCAACTTCTCTAGGAATCCATAAACTTTATACATCCTGCTTTAGGTGCTAACTTTCTGTAAATTGTAGTAAAATGTATTATGCTAAAAGTACCCTACAGGGTAACTTACTGGACCTTTCATTACAGCATATTCAAAAATAGTATATTTTTAAAACATCCTCAGGAAGTTTTTTTCAAGTTATGATGATGCTTAATTTTTTCATGTAATACTTCACACTTTAAAGTACTTAGTATGCCATCTGATTCAATTATTATAATCCAGACAGAGATGGAGAAATTCTTACTCTCATTTTGTAATTATCAAACTTAGGTAAATAGGTGATAGTTGCCTAAGTGAGTAAATAACAGCTGGAATTTGAACCTGAGTGTTTCAGCTTCAAGTCCCGTGTTCTTTCCACTCTTTTGCATTGACTTCTTAACTATCACTTATTTATGTGATTAAGAAAATGGAATTATTTAATACCTGCTGTTTATCAGGACCTGTGCCAGGCAGTTTTCATTGCTTATCTCAGAACAATCCTGTGAAGTGCTAATATCTATATTTCATAGATGGAAGAAGCAAGTGTTAGAGACGATAAAATATATGGCTAAGGCCCTAGAATTCAAGCCAAACTCTGTAAAGTCAAAGCTCATTGTCTGTATCTATCTGGAAGAAAAAAAAAGAAAGCTAAAATCCATCTGTGTTTCTGAAAGGAAAGAATCTGAGTTCCTTCACTAAACTGAGACCATGGGCTATGTTTTCTGTGTTCTGTTGTGTAAGAGAGACATACTTTCTAAAGGCATGTCACTTGACATACATCCAGATGTGGCTCGGGGCAATAAACATTTCTCATTCCTTGGGTAAGCAATATTACTGAGTGATAAAAACTTTATAACTATTTCTGAAATAACAGCCCCCTGTTATACAGATTTTTCTGTAATCTAATAGTAAACCTATCTCTTCTCTTGGTTCTCTTCTCTTTTTCCCTCAGCTTAAACTAGAAAACTTTCCTTGATGTATATTGTTATTTTTATTGATATCATTCTGTCTGTTAAATTTCCCTAAAAGTTTCACATCAGCCCACCTAATAGTGGTAATTAGGGATTTCTCTTTCCACTGAGCAAGTTTAATTCCTGTGCCTGTACAAGGTCCCTTAGAAACATTTCCTTTCTCCCAAATAATGAGGAAGCTGAGAAGTCAGCATACTGATGTATATCGTATTTCATGTACATATAATTTATTTATCATGTGTTTTATGTATTGTCTCTTAAGACCTTCCTCCGTCTTAACCACCACACACAAATATACAGAAATATAAGCTCCATGAGGGTAGAGATTTTGTTTTTCTTGGCTCACTTAGGTATTCTAGTGCCTAGAATAGCATCTGGCGTGCAGTAGGCACTCAGTAAATATTTAATATACAAGTCTGTCTAAGGTTCTTCTTTCCATTGAAAGACCCTTTGTTTACAGGTAGGTAGTTTCTTCTTTGTTCATTCTAGCACCATTAGTTCCCTGCACCCATATCTTTGTTTGTATTCCTCCTCTACCCTTCCCTTTATTTCTTCTGTGCACGTGGTTGAGTGGTCTCTTTGGTGATCTGTGCCTCATGTTTATTTGGTAGAATCCCCACTCAGCCCTCCGTCCTCAGTATTCTGAGACTTTTGTTCTCAAATGTCTTGCCCAGCACAGTGAATTTTTAAACTGTTACATATAAAAAGAAAGTTTTGTTTTCAAGAAATGAAATTATGCAATTATCTGGGAATTGGCTTGTTTTGAATGGTAGGAAATGATGGTAGGAGAAACTCATGATGGTGAAATCACGAAGAGGCAAACCATTAGCCCTGTTTCTTAGTTAAAAAAAAAAAATTATAGCTCCAAGTAACTGGCTTTTAGTATGGATACTAGAAGAAACCTCATATACTAATGCTTTTCTCCCTAAATGATTGTAATAATTTATTATCTTCAAGATCTTCATACATCATTTGTACAATTATTTATAAATCATCATCCATCTCATAACTATTTGACATCTATATGTTCTTGCTTTTTTCATGAGATAGATATCTTTTTCAAGTTAATAGATGCATAAACAAACATCCAAAAGAACTATGAACTCATTTCCTTCAGTTTTATTTTCTCATATACAGCCTCAAAGTCCGAGCTCATTCAGGATCTGCGAATAGAGCTTTCATGATACTTCTATAAATTTTCCATGAAGGGCATACATTCTTTCAAGGGTCCCCTGGATTAGATTTAGCCCAGATTACTATCACCAGGCTGATCAGCTTTAATGTCAGTAGTGGGGTCTCTATGGGAACTCATGACTGAAGTTGAGGACTCTGTTCTAAGGTACATAGAACATGTGGAATGTCCACCCAGGCTTGAGTTTCATGACTCATATTTTTCCCTCAGACATGGTCATGTATCCTGGCAAGACTAGTACTGTGCTTAAGGAAAAACGTCTTTAAAATACAAAGTAGGTAGCATTTGTCAAATGCTGTTTTGTTTTGTTGAAGAATTTTTTAAATTGCATTTAGAAGCAGCACCTCATCTTTTTAGACTATTATCAGAATTGTGAATTTATATTGTGTTTTTTGTTTTGTTTTGTTTTTGATAAGAGAAATATTTATCTTAGCTGGCTTTTTTTTTCAACAGAAAATCTTCGTTATCATAACATTCAGCAAACATATAGTGGAGCAAATGGTGGCTTTCATTGGGTGAGTAATTCTTTAAGGACTAATACTAATACTA